TTTGATGTATAATTTATATTTTTGGGAATTTTTTTTCATAATATAATATAATATAATATAATATAATATATATATATATATATAATATAATAGAAATGACAGAAAAATGCTACATATAAATCGTCAGCAAAAACCGAAAAAAAAATAAATTATAGCCAAAAAAAAAACAAAAACAAATATAAAACATTCCTATTCCACTTCAACTGCTTGAAGCCCCACCGTCATCATCGCTAACAGGCACGTCTAAGTCTCGCACATCTAAAAATTCACCTTCATCGCTGTCTGAATAAAAAATCAGTTCAATCGCTTGCTCAGCTGTGTACACATCTTGTGCGGCCATTTCGAAAAATTTTTGAAATTAATAACGATTTCAAATTGATATTTCTAAAAATTTTTATGTAAGCGCATGTGAGTTCTTCACAGATTTCGAACGACAAAAGCTTCATGCATGCGTGTTCAAAATTTCTGACGTATTGGAGCTAAAATAAAAACAGGAGAGCGATTTGAAAACCACCTATTTTTTAGTCACGAAATTTCGATTGCAGTCGAAAATGGGAATTCTCGGTTTGAGGTCAATTTCAACTACAGTCGAAGACGGTATCTAGAGGGTTAATAGGGGTGTCTCCTCAATAGTGGTGTCTAAAAGGAGGGGGTTCTACTATATTTTATTAATAATTTTGAAAAGTATCCATGTTAATTTGTGTAATTTTACTGATCACAGGTTATCGGTCTCAAACGATTTGAAATATGATGCTCAGCGTGATTTGAAGGACATTGGGGCCAGTAATATAAGTGTTCATTCTTTAAACAAGGTATGATCAGTTAAGTTTGTACTTGATAATCATGACAGATGGTTCGAGCCACTCCTCGCCCTGGTTTTGGTTGGTAGAACCAAGTCTTCTCGTATAAGGACTTGCAAACGGGTGGCCCAATGTATACATCTGGCTTGTGGCTTGAAGAACGCAATGCATCTTTTGCAAGAGTAGGGGTTACCCCGATGCTATGGTTCATTTCATCCCCTGTCATTGTGGAATGATGTAAACTAAGTACTTCTCTACAGCTGCTAAAGTAGTCCTGGACCACACCCATATGCTATTCAGCACAATGACTCTGCAACTTGCGTGTTATTCTCCTACCTTTACCTTTGTACCTTTACCAAAACAAACTAAGTTTGCAGTATAATCTTGTTTTTCAACATTTTAAACATTTAATTTTTTTTTCTTGCAGTTCAAATATGCCAAAATTAATTCCCATGTAAACCACAGTGTGAAGAAAGGTGTGATATTTGCCACCTACTCCTCATTGATAGGTGAAAGCCAGGCAGGTGGTAAATACAGAACACGGTTAAAACAGTTAGTCCATTGGTGTGGTAAAGACTTTGATGGTCCTGTATCCTTTCTTGTTAAATTTTAACATTGTTTTGTTTTGGTACAATACTATTTTGATATGTTATTTTTGGCTTGAGCACTATGTATATATGACCGCAATATTATTATTAGAGCCTGTATTAATGTTTATTATATTAAGAATCAAATACTGCAACATGTCTATGAGAGGAAATTGTGTAGGAAAGGAGTTTTGCCAGAAAAAAAAAATTCCCTGTCCATGCACCCACACTGGAAGTTTGTAGAGGTTTTCCTGTTGCTGCCTAACCCCTTATTAGCTCTATGCCAGCATGCCTAAAAATGCCACTGCCCAAATGTAAAATGTTTTATTACAATCTGCCTATTTAAATAATAAAATTTTGATTTTGTGAAATCCAAAAATCAACTTGTGCAATTTTCCGTTTGGAAAAAACACCCCGAACATAAAATTTATCAACCCACTCCATTGTTTTTCATAACTTAACCACTGTGATAGATTATTTTTGATGAATGTCATAAGGCCAAGAATCTGATTCCTGTTGGATCATCAAGGCCTACCAAGACAGGTCTTACAGTACTAGATATTCAACAGCAGCTTCCCAAAGCAAGGATTGTCTACTGTAGTGCAACAGGTATCAATCACCCACCCATCCATCCATTCACTTTCAGTTATTCAATTTCAAATCACAATATTTATTGAATTTTATTATTAGCCAGTTAATGTTTATATTATTTTTGTAATGCACATTTATGTTGCTCATCTAGGTGCATCTGAACCAAAGAATATGGCTTACATGACAAGGTTAGGCTTATGGGGGAAATCTACCCCCTTCCCTGAATTCCCTTCATTTATTCAAGCAGTTGAAAGAAGGTAAATAATATATTTTATTTCAAGTGGTTTTCAATA